ACCCACCTCCATTTCAGTGCCCTCCCCATGATCATTACCCAGGGCTTGTGCTCCAGGTGTGGCCAGGAAGAACAAAACCCAAAGTCTCCAGGATGGGGCATGCCAGGAGGGGTTCCTGTTTTATCTGCTACCCAGTCTATCTGGCATCCTGCCCCAGAAACAAAGGTATGCTAGACAGTTGAACCTGACTGCAGTGGTAAATAGTTCCACCTGGCACTCTAGGACGCCATGACACCCTGGTTGAGAACCAATGCCTTAGCTGCTGCTTAGGACTGGTTTCCATAGGTGGATCTACCAATTTGAAAAGTACTAAAAACATTCTGCTAGGCTATGAAATAGGAGGAGAGCCCAGAAACACCTAAAAGATAGCAAAATTTCCGGAGGAAAGGTTAGCTTGATAAGTGGAACATCAAGGCTATTAAAAAGGTTGACAGAAGTCAATCATCATGGTGCTCTGTGACCAGTGGGGTCCCCCAAGGATCTGTTCTAGGACCTATACTTTTTAACATCTTCATCAATGATGTAGGCATTAGTGTCAGAAGTGGGCTGGCCAAGTTCGCCAATGCCACCAAACTCTGAGGTAAAGCATCCACTTCTGAGGACAGGAGGGCAATCCAGGCTGACCTCGACAGGCTCAGGAAATGGGCGGCTGAGAACCTGATGGTGTTCAACACCAAAAAATGCATGGTTCTCCACCTCGGGAGGAAAAACCTGCAGCACCCTTATAGGCTCCGCAGTGTTACGCTGGTTAGCACTATGGATGAAAGGGACTTGGGGGTTATGATTGACCACAAGATGAACATGAGTCTTCAGTGTGATGCTGTGGCTAGTAAAGTGTGCAAAACACTGGCTTGCATCCATAGATGCTTCTCAAGCAAATCTTGGGACATCATTCTCCCATTGTAGTCGGCCTTGGTGAGGCTGCAGCTGGAGTACTGCGTCCAGTTTTGGGCTCCACATTCAAAAACGATGTGGAGAAGCTTGAGAGAGTCCAAGGAGAGCTGCACACATGATCAGAGGTTAGGAAAGCAGACCTTATGATGAGAGGCTTAGAGCTATGGGACTCTTCATCCTGGAAGAGTGCAGGCTCAGGGGTGATATGGTGGCCACCTATAAATTTATCAGGGGTGTTCACCAGGATCTGGGGGAACATCTATTCAGCACAGCACCCCAAGGAATGACAAGATCGAATGGTCATAAACTCTGCAGCGACCGATTCAGGCTGGACATAAGGAAGAACTTCTTTACTGTCCGAACCCCCAAGGTTTGGAATAGACTGCCACTGGAAGTGGTTCAATCACCCACTTTGAACGCCTTCATTTGGATGTTTATCTTGCTGGGATCCTATGATCCCTGCTGACTTCCTGCCCCTGGGGCATGGGTCCCTTCCAGTCTGAATGTCTATGAAATCTATGAAAAAGAAATGATCATCAACACTTGTGGAATGAAGTACAAAGAGCCATTAGTCAGTTGAGTCCCTACAGTCAACTGACTGCCTGAATAGAAATGCCACTGCTGTTGTGAGCAGAAATCAAAGTTGGGCACTTCTACTCTGGGCAGGAAATCAGATTCCCTACTTACAATGTGCACCATGTGTTATGTGAGTAAATATGCTATATTTCTTGGTATATAGCAAAGAGCCTGTGCCCGCCTGGCCTTGAACATCTGGTCACATGCCGCTTAGGCCCAGATGTTCGGTGGTATCTGTCCATCCATTCCCACTGTTACGTCAAGTGGGTGTCTCTTCCTGGAGTAGTCTTCCCCAAATCTTGACTGCCATGATTTCGGAACTTGCTTCAGTGGTTGGTGTCCGACTATCCGGGTTCCCTCGACTATGAGACAGCTATTGGGTGATCCTCTGCGAGGCTCCACCTCCCCATACCTCGCCCTTATACCCAACCTTGACAGGTCACTGTTATATGCCAGGCCAGTCTCCCAGCCATTGAACCCCTAGCTCCCCTTTTGTGGCCGACGCAGTCTGTCCTGCTTACGTAGAGGACCGCTTGCATTCAATTGCCTGGACTACGAGTGTGCTGCTTTCCCCAAAAGCAAGCAACTCTTCCAGTGACTTAATAATACTGGGGATGTCTGCTCTGTTCTACAACCCCTCCAAAAGTGGGAAACACAAAATCTAAACAAAACAAAACTAAAAATGCAATCTGAGGGACTCTTAAGTCCTCTCTCCCATGCCCCTTTCTTGGCCTGGCCGCAAATGACATATACAGACCCTAAATTCTGTTTAAGACCTGTTCGACAGTCGGTATTCACTGTAAGTTCTGCCCCTGTTCCGCTCTCTTGTTGTCCCACCCGGGACTTCTTATGGCCACTGGTGATCCTCCCACGGGTGTCTGTCCTCCTGTCCCTTGATGTAACCACGCTGCGCCACCGAGGGCCGTCATTCGCAGCCTCTCCCGCTGCCCTTGCCTCCCATCTCCCGCCTGGCATACCTCTTCGGCTTCCCTGGTGCCCTCAATGGTCCCACTTGGTGAAAAGCCATAAATTACGCTAGCCTCAGCAGCCCCTCAGTCGTCATGATGGACGTCAGCATCAATCTGCGTCTCTTGGTTTTCTTTCCTGGGTTCCCAGTCCAGAGGAGCCGCCCTTGGTTCTAGTCTTTCTCTGCAGCAGCCAGCAGTCTCTAGCTTGCCGCGTGCTCTGCCGCATTCTTCCCCGCCGGGGGAAATTAGCTTCCGGCTCCCGTCGCCCCTGCAGGGCCTCTGGGACGATCGCTCCTGCTGGTGCTCCTGTCAGCGTTGATCCCCCTGCTTCCCTGCCGGCAGCCCCTTTTGTCCCCGCCAGCCGGCTTCTGTGGCTGACATCATCCACCGGCCGTAACTTTATAAAGACGTGGCTGACATGCTGCGCGGGTCCTGTCTCTAGCTCTGCCGCAGATCCTGCTGCAGGTAAGCAATTTTTATTTTATTTTCTGTTATTTTAATTTCTTTCCATGGGTTCCTGACCCCGGGGCTCCCCCCTGGGTCTTTGGGCTTTTCCCCTCTGTCCCTGGGACAGAGCCATTTTTATTTTATGCTTTTCCCTTCCTCAGGCTTTTAAAGTTGAATTAGGCTGACATGTGGATAGTCCTTTTCTGTTATATTTTGTTCACACACGTGGGATACGCACAGTATAGGATGGGTGTCCTTAGTTATATTCTAAAGGAGTGGTTCCCAACCTTTTTTTTTCTGTGACCCACTTGTTAATGAGTTAATTAGCAAGGATTAACAACTACAAAACCACAGACTAAGGAGAGGAAAGAATCAATACAATCAAATGCCCCAAAACAGAGACAGTCAGTTGCACAAGCACCCATATCATGAGTTTTGCCTCTCAGGAGCTAGAGGTGCAGGGCCCAAGAACCCCTGCACCTATCTCCTTGACAGCTGGCAGGCTTCATGGCCTCAGCAGGGGCTAGCATGCCTGCAACTTTCACCTTGCTGCACCTTAACACACACAGTGTCACTCATGTCATGAGTTCTGCTTGTCCACAGCTTCAGGTGCAGTTCCCCCCAAACCTTTGCACCTATCACCTTGAAACTTGGCAGGCTTTGTGGCCTCACCAGGGGCCACTACCCTTGCAGTTTTTACACCCATTTTATAACACATACATGTGACATGAGTTTTGCTTTCAGAAATTTGGGGTGCAGTTCCGCCCAAACACCCCGTACCGATCTTCTTGAAACTTGGCAGGCTTCATGCTCTCAGCAGAGGCTACCGATGGTGCTTCGAGGAGGGCTTTGGCTTCCTCAGCCATGACCGGCATATCACGACGAGAGACATGCTGGGATGCGACGGGCTCCACCTTTCCTCAAAAGGTAAGCGTGTGTTCTCTTCTAGGTTGGTGGACCTCCTCTGGCGGGCTTTAAATTAGGCT